TGATGTCCGCCTGGAGTCTTGGGAGTGTTTTCAATGGAAGACAGTCATGCAAATTCGAGTGTCATCTGCAAAGGAAGACACAGCGCTATGGCTTACATCCTTGTTTATATCAGATATGAGGATGAGGAACAGGATGGGAGCAAGTATTGTGCCTTATGGAACAGGGCTTTTCACCATAGCCGCCTGAGACTTTACTCTGTTTACTATTACTCTTTGTATTCTATCTGTATATGTGAATAGCACGACGAAAGGGATGGATACAAAGGTGTCCCTGTTCGCAGACGATGTAAAGTTAATGCTGAGAACTCAAGCGGAAGAGGATCGGGTAAGACTACACAGGGGTCTGGATAAGTTGCAAATCTGGTCCAACAAATGGCTCCTGGAGTTTAACTCCACCAAGTGCAAAGTCATGAAGCTAGGGGAAGGACAAAGAAGACCGCAGATGGAGTACATGTACATGGGCACCTGGCATACCTAAGAACAGCCTTTCGACATTTAAGTTAAGGGTTATTCACTACACTGTACACCGTGTACGTCAGGCCCATATCGGAGTATGCAGCACCAGTGTGGGACCCAAACCTGGCCAAGAACGTAAAAATATTAGAGAAAGTTAAAAAAGTTTGCAACAAGACTAGTTCTGGAGCTAAGGGGTATGTCCTATGAAGAGGTTAAGGGAGTTCAACCTTACGACACTGGAGGACGCAAAGGATAGGGAGGACATGATGACATATAAAATACTGAGAGGAATTGACAAGGTGAAGGTCATAATTTTTCAGAGATGGGATACAGCAGCAAGAGAACACAGGTGGAAGTTAAAAAACTCAGATGAGTCACAGGAATGTTAGGAAGTATTTTTACAGGCTTTGAGTTGTCAGGAAGTGCAACAATCTGGAGGAGTGAAGTAGCACACATAAGGGGGATACCAACAGACCCCTGGCAGTCTTCAAGCTGGCACTGGACAAGCACCTAAAGTCAGTTCCGGATCAGCCGGGCTGTGGCTCGTATGTTGGTTTGCGTGCAGCCAGCAGCAACAGCCTGGTTGATCAGGCTCTGATCCACCAGGAGGCCTGGTCTCAGACCGGGCCGCGGGGGCGTTGACCCCCGGAACTCTCTCCAGGTAAACTCCAGGTAAGCGGAGGCAGGATCCCTGCAGAGCTTTAAGAAGAGGCACGATAAGGCTCCTGAAGTCAGGTGAGAGTGGACCAAGTAGTGACCAGCGAAGAGGCGGGTCCAGGAGCTGTGTATCTACCCCTACAACCACATGAGCACATACACGTGAATAGGACACGTATGCATTGCGTTTGGACCATACGATCACATTTGCAACCGGTGAATGATAATCTTATTTTAGACTTCACTGTTAATGGCATTATATCTGAAATTTTGAGACTAGCATTATATTTCATGAATTAAAAATGAACAAATATAATGAAAAAGATCAAACTAGTTTTTTTTCCCCAGTATGATGGTGATATAAGTGGAGTTACATTTTGAAACTGAATCTCTCCTAAACCTGATTCAACTTTCATTTAAACCTGCCTTAAATAATTTTATTTTTTATATTAATTATTATCCTTTCTGGACTCATACTGGTCAGCTTTTGTGAATATTTAGAAATATGTTGTTGGCGAATGTAATTACGAATGACTTGTTCTCAGTACAGGGGATTGCACCATGATTGTACTGATTGCAGTGATGTTGCAATAATCTACTTCATCACGAGGGAAACCTTATTAAGCTTATTAATTCGAGGTTAATGCAGTAGTAATGTCATCTAGCAACGCCAGTCCAAGATTTTGTAGGATAATTAGCACTGAAAGAAATTTTCGATAATTCATCCAGTAAGTTGTTTTATGAATATATTACACACTAAAATATAATATTTTAATATAGATGTATTACATTATTACATTGCATAAAAATAATAGTTCATAGGGTATTAAAAATATGATGATTTATCATTAGCAATCCTGAATTTTTAATGGTCATACAGCTTCTAAATTATTAAGTATGTATAGTATTTCTTAAGTTAGAAAAGTTAACTTTCAAAATTAACATGTTGCTAAATACAGGAATTTTACAAATGATAATTATTCATTAGGAGTCGGATAATATTTGTAAATTTGATTAGAACAGCGTGTAATATTTAAAATATGCACATAAATATTTATAAATTTTTTTTTAATTTTCTGCATGAAAATCTCATTGTAAAAATATTTTTCATATAAATTTAGTGCTAACAAATATTTGTATTGAAAGCAGTAAGTTAAAAGAGTTGTAATTGACGATGTGTTTGTAAAAGTGTTCTCACTTACTTTATTTTACTCCCTGAGTAATAGACACCATCGCCTTGTTCTTCGTCAATCATCATTATTTCCGCACTCTTGTGGCAGGTGAGGCTTTTTCTGGCATTCTAAATTATTATAACATTCGTAGTTTTGCTGCAGATATAGTTATTACATGTCAGATAAAGGAAGAAAATGTAATAATGCGTAATAAAGATGGCGCATGCTCAGTCAGACGTGGAACCAGACACTCAATGACAATATTTCTCCCCAGAATTAATCCCCAGAGAGGAGGTTACTTTTCTGAAAGTCAAGCTTTTGGGTGAGAGAGGTGGAGGGTGTGTGGGAATGGAGGAATAAGAGGCGGATGGGCTTATTTCTTGCAGAATTTGGAGGTGAGAGGAGGTGAGCGACGGGCGCCATTATAAGGTGGTGCGTGTGGACTGGGGCTCACTAGCCAATTATTACCACAACACAGCCCTGGACGGCACTTTCATGATTTTATTCAGTTGGCACAGTGAGTATTACTTGTCCTTGCATGCGTGTTTGTAGTGGAATGATTGTGTAATGTCTTGAGATTTACTTGTGCACGTATTGAATGTGTTAACCAGCTGGGAAGACCATCAGTTGACAGGATTATATACGTCTATGTAAGTTTGGTTCACTTTCTCTAGCTAATAACGTTTAGGTAATGTGTGACTTCTAGTCTACCATATGTTGCAGAAGATTACATATGTTGGCAGTAATGAAGCACTTGCTGTATATATTAAAATACAAGGGTGGTGTCATTCCTAGTATTATGCTTTTTGCTGTCACTATTACATGTTAATTTCAATTTTTAAGTGGAATATTGTGTTAAGGATATGTAAGAGGGCCTTAACCAAAAAAAAATCGATGTTTTAATTTTCTTTAACACTTACGATGCTGTACTAGTGGGAAAAACTTGCTTTCTTCATTTAATGTTCTTGTATTAAACCCCAAGTGCTGTGACACTTTATATGCATTGCCAGGACTTGTTCATGAAATGGCACGACTATTTATCCATAATGATGCATGATCCAACATAGTCATGTTCAGAGTTCTAACATATGGTAATTCACAAGACTGTATTAACCCTGTAGGGTTTAGAGTTCAGGATGAATGCCGGTGATCTTGCTGATGTTACCATCACAGTCAAGAAATGTTTTTGTATTAGTGACTAGTTGTATAGTGTATAAATTCAGTAATATTGTCAAGTGCAAAAGTATCAAACCTTAAAATTGGTCCACAGCTTATAAGTGCTTAACCTGGTGCCTGGTGTTTGTGGCTTGGTAGCATCCTCCTCATACACAGAGACTAAGTATCTTTCCCTGGCGTGTTTCCTTAAACCTGCTGCTTCCTGTTTGTCTAGCAGTAAGTAGGTACCTGTGTGTGTGAGTAGACTTGTGGGTTGCATTCTCAAGGAAAAGATTAAAGTACCCCAATGAAAATAAGTCCCCAATGATGCATGCACTTTGGGTATCCTGGGTGGCTAACCCACTGGATTTATTATCCAAATGAAATCTTAACCAAACTTGAAGACATTGGTGGGTTGGTAATTTAATTTATCCCAGTCAGAACTCTTGTGAATACAATACTGTATTTCATTTAAAGTGCAAATACTATCCTTAACACAGGAAATACTTGAAACTTACCTGAAATCTTGTCTTGAGGTTTGCCCACACAACCTACTCCTAGGCCAGGCCTCTTGGTTGGCCTGATTGATCAAGCTGTTAGTGCCCACCACTCGGTCCAAAGTATGCACCACATCCCGGCTGATTAGGAACCATTTTTGAAGTCATTCCCTCTTGACAACAGCTAGGAGTTCGTTGGTATCTCCGTTACGTATGTATGGAGGGTGCGAGTTATGGTCCTTCTAACAATTTTTGAGACCTTATTGCTCCCCTGCTTTTTATTGGTATCTTATGGAAATTCAATAGTTTCTTACTTTCAACATTATACTAGTATTTTACATTGTATATACTATTTTTATATAAAGCATCAATTAGCACTACCTTGTTATTTCCACATAGTATTGCATTTTTTACATCTGTATTTTATATACTTGACTAGTTATCCTGCAGCCTGGCCATGGTTCAGGCTTTTCTGGTGCTTGCTTGGTCAGTCAGGCTGTTAGTGGCCCACTAGTCAACGTGCGTTGTAGTATAGTTGATTTGGAACCTGGCAGACCCTGGTATCTTCTGGTAATGGAAAAGATGCATAGAAGTGTATGTGATCCTTTATTGACTTTCACTCAAGTAGTGGGCTTTGAGGTCAAATAGGATCTGTGACTTGATAGTCCATTGTGCAGGTGAAACGTTGTCGGTAAAAGATTGCATTATACTGCAATCTTTTTTTTTGGGGGGGGGGAGGGGCAGTGTTAAATAGTATGTGCCCATTGATGTTGATTAGTGTTCTTGTGCCCACTGTACCCCTGTCCCTCACTGGGTTTGCCTTGCTTTTCCATATCTCACTCCAGTATGTAATGGCACTGTAGGTTTGTGATCAGGCCCCTGAGTATCTTTAGCTACAAGAGGAACATATTAAGCCACAAGCCCAGATCCCCAAGTCAACACTACATGTACATCAGTGTGCTTTGTTCTGTAGCATATGGTAGTGTTTGCAGCATGTCTGCTCATCTTGCTTGACACTTCTGCTGCCTCTTCAAAGAAAATTGGGAGTCTGTAACCCCTTCATTTAAAAAAAAAAAAAAAAAAAAAAAAAAAAAAAAAAAGCCCCAATGCTGGATGTAGTTTCTGCTGTGGATTTTTGTGAGAAACGGTAATTTTTAATGTTTGCAAACTCTGTGCAAAGTTGAGATTCCCTTTATGCAGGAAGATACTAGTGAAATTCCAGAAAATATATATTTTGTAGATTAAGAAAATAAGTTAAGCACAATCAAAGCCACTAGTGACATGGTTCAGACAAAGTAAAACCTGACAAATCCCTGGGCACTGAACTTCTTGCAAGGGTTTTAAAGGAATGTAAGGAGGAATTTAGCAAACCAGTCTTTTCAGCCCCTCTTAACTGGCATAGTACCAGGTAAGTGGAAACTGGCAGATGTGATGCCTATCTACAAAGCAGGAGACTGGTCCTTAGCTTTGAGCTATAGACCAATTATCCTAATGTCTAGTGTGGGGGAAAAATTGATGGAATCGGTAATAGCTGAGGCTATTCAAAGCCAACTTAAAAGACAAATTGATTAATGAATCTCAGCGCTGTTTTATAAAGGGGCAGTCCTGCCTTACTGATTTACCTTTTTTTCACTAAGGTGTTTGAAGAGGTAAATCATGGTAATTGATAGTGTGTATGGACTACAGTAAGGCTTTTGGTAGTTCCATATTGGAGGTTATTTAGGAACTTAGAGGCTCTCATGATAGAAAATTTTTCCTGCATAGAGGCACGATTGAGAGGTAGGCAACACTTTACATGAATGGGGGAAGAATCAGTGGGGAGTCATCACAAGGTGATGCATCCACAGGGGGGATTCAGTGTTGGGCCCTTTGCATACATGACAGACGAGGGAGTAAATAGTGACATAAGCAAGTTTGCTGACAACACCATAAGCTTAATGTAGACCAATGCAGAATTCTATGCAATGGAAAAGAAAACCATGACATTTATAAACTAAATAATGTAGATCTTAATATCACTGATTGCAAAATTTAGGAGTTGTGGTTAGCAGTAATCGTAAACCAAGACAGCAGTGCGTAAGCGTTCGCAATAGTGAATATAATTCTTGGCTTCATATCAAGAAGTATAAGTAACGGGAGTCTTCGGGTTATTCAACTCGATATTGTTGGTTAGGTGTCATTTAATTATTACACAGGTCTATTCACTGTATTACAGAATAGCTATAAGCACACGGAAAAACTTGCAAAGAAGGATGACTAAGTTAAATTCCATGTTTGGGAATCTTTCCTAGGAGGAAACTGACCCCCCCCTCAATCTGCACTCAGAAGGTGTAAATTGGGGGGGTGTGTTTGAGGGTAAAAAGGGAAAACGGAATAAAAAGGGGGGATGTAAAAAACGTCTAAAAGTTAAAACCAGACAGGGACTTGCAGCAAGGGTCTCAAATTGGAAAAATTAGATTTAGGAAGGATATAAAAGCATGGTTTGGTACTAGTTGTAGACAGGGGAAAACACGCCTAGTGGTCTTTTTAAAAAAAAAAAAGTGTAATATTAAAGAGCTTAGACAGATCACGTGGGGGGGGGGTGTTTGGGCCCTGACGGCTTGGGCCAAGGGTTTGGTGCATTGCCCTACAAGTTCTTTGTTGAGGGGAGGCTACAGGCCAAGTTAAAGGGAAACTGATTAACGTTTTCTTATTTGTACTATTTTAGCATATTCAGAGACAAATTTTTAAATCCAGTTAATGTATTTTTTTGATTTATTAATACCCCCTTGTGACTTTTGTTACTACAGACCTGTTAATGCAGGTTGAAAAAGTATTTGTGGGGTTCGTGTGGTATTTAGCTAGAAAAATTTGAAATTGTGGACTCCGTAAAAACATGTTTTAATACAAGCTTCCCCCTTAAACCCGACTAATTCCGGCCCCTAAGACCTCGTGGGTTAAACGATTCTCGCTAAGTAAAGGGGCATACTATAATACAGGCACCCCATCCGGGGACATTATAAGAGGGGGTTTGACCCATCAAAATAAAATGACCAATTTAAAACCCTTTCTGTATAAATTTTTAACGATTTTTTATTGTTTTATTTTGGCATTATTTTTTTACTTTAAATTTTTATGTTTAGAAATTGTTTTATACTTAAGGTTTTTAGATAAAACACGGGGTAAACACGTTTTTTTTCCAAAAATTGGCATGGAAAACAGTCGTTTCTTCGTTTTTTTCCACAAGGGTGGAATTTAGGGGGGGTTGGTGTTGCCCCTTTTAAGCATTCCCCCAAAATGCTCGGTTTTTTAAATTTTTAACGATTTGATTTGTTGAAAAATAAAAAGGAAAATACCTACACATTATTTTAGGTTGAATAGGCCCAAGAGCCCGTGAAGTCCAAGGGAGAAATAGATTTGCTGGAGGAGGCTGAAAAATTCCCCAAAACTTTAATTAGTGGTTTTTATTGTAATGCGTGAAACTGGAGAAGAGAACATTTGCCCTTTTGGTTTTCCTAGGGGCGTGGAAACCTCTTCTTTTCTGGTGGCCAATTTCCTGTTTTCACAAAAAAGGGGGCCCCCCCCTTTACCCAGGGGGGCAAGTGTGGGCCCCGTTGGGGAAAACCCCCCACAAGCCCGAATTACCAAGATTTATGGGGGCCCCTTTGGCATTGATTTAAAAATTTTGGGAATACATTTGGATATCCCCAACCAAATTTTGCACAGTGGGGGGTTGAAAGGACTGCCCCCAGGGGGAAACTACCCCTTTTCGGAGATGGGGATGCCTCAAAAAACACCTGGGGGGGGACCCCAACGTCCCTTTCGAGGGAAAGAGGATTGAGAGCATTTCAAGTTGGGGGGGTGATTTTTTATTTCGGGGACGGGG